TGGATTGGGTGAAAGCATATATTCCGGGCAGGGTCATATATTTTCAGAATCGATGGATAATTTGTCTATTTCTTCTACTGCGTCTTCTGCATCAATTATGTTACGAAAGATGGGCAAGGGCGTTAAAAGATCAACTCGATCACTTGTTGGGCTCTTCCGACCTAAATCAACACTTGGTGATTCTCGGGACCAAGCGACTGTTGAAGCTATGACTCCTCAGATATCGATAGTAAATGTGGAAGCTGAACGGGAAAATACGACTTCTGCCAGCAATCATATCATGTCAGAGCAGGTTAATAAGGAGCCCACAGCGGCGATAATCCCGGCAGCCCTGGCTCAGGAACGCCCTTCTGTTGATACTGGTAGCACAGACACAGGAGGTGATCAGAGCAGTGTTGACAGCCTCAAAACTACACGTAAGAGCATTCTGGGAGGGGAACGGGAGCGTGCTGAAGTCCCGGCAGCTGTAAGAAAGGGAATTTTAAAAAGTAAGCTCTTTATCTATCCATCCCTAAATCTAGAAGATGTCTATAAACTAATAAATTTCTAGGATCTGGCACAGGCTCCAACACATCATCCCCCGTTGTCCGACCAGTTGAACCCCGCGGTTCCACTGATATTCCCACCTCCAACATCCCACACTTCAATGACTCCTCCCCGCACTCCAGTGCCCCTAGTACACCATGCGAAGACCGTCCTCCGCGCTCTGGACACCGACGAACCGACTCCATTACGATAGACGGCGAAGACTACTTCCTCCCCGCCGGCCGCTTCAGCACAACAGACGCTTCAAGCGCTCCCACGTCCCCACAGCCGGCCACTGCATCCACAGAGTCATCGGCAACGGTCCTCGTGAGGAATATCAGCTTCAGTCCGCGGATACAGTTCCATGACACGTGGCCAAGTGGGGAGTATGATCGACGTGGAGAGATTGCGACGTGTAATCGGCTCACGCCGCTCTTGGCACAGCAGATTAAGGAGGAGCTTAATACGTTTAAGATGGTTAGTTAGATTTTTATGCCTCTGGTTATATTTTGAAAACTCTCTGAAATATATGCTGACTCATTTGCTACTCAGGAGATGGAAGTGCACGAATCCTCTAAAGTATATACACATTTCTTCTGATGAAAAGCTGAAACTGCATTACATTGCCGTTAACCCGGTGGTGAGCGTTGTCCCACTTAGAACTTGGCTTGAGAGATTATTTCAGTGTTTTCACAGAACTGTACTTGTGACCTATCTCTTCCTTTTTGTTCCTCGATGTTGAAACTTTTACACACACCTGATTCTCCATTGGAGTATTTCCCATTTGCCATACTCCACTCTCCCGGTCTTTCTCTTTTTTTTTCACACTTCTCTCATTGCTTTATGACGATCCAGGCGTCCTCTCATAAGTACTTGGAGTTTCTCCTTTTCCTTTTCCCCATTCTCATCCAAGTCAGTTCCAGCTGTTGCTTTCTACTGATCCCTTTTTTGCATCTTTATGATTTTCCCTCTCATCCTGGTTTTCCTCAAGCTAGATCTTTGTCTAGTTGCATCCCGAGTCTCTTACACTTCCTTTCGTAATGGCATTCGGCTCTTTCCTGTCGTGTCTCCTGCGGTCGCGTTTCTTATCATGTACGCAGCGTCCACGTTCTCGAGTCATGGATTTTTATTATCTGATCTCCGTTGAACATTTTGCCGCACTTGGTGGTCTCGTTTTCCGAAGATTTTTTTTCATTTTTACAGTTTTCCCCTCCCCCTACTAATCTGCAATTCCTTTATCTCTTTTCCCTTTTCACAGATTCTGTTTGGCAGAATTTTTTTACTTCTTTTTTTTTATTTTTTCATTTTTTTTTTTTTTGCTCTCCTCCTCACTACTTTGCAGTTTACATGCATATGTGCTTTGATTATACTTGCGCTTGTGATCTTTTATTGTCATTTTCAATTTTGTGTTTGGGCTGTTTGGGCTGTTGGTCGGTTATGTGTGCTCTTGAAATGGTTTGTTTTTATTTTCTTTCTTTTTTGTTTTCTCCTTTTCAAAAGCCTTCTTTTTTCACGTCATCTGACGTTCCTTCAGTGCCGTGTTTTGACTAGGAACAGAGCGAACGTTTCTATTTTGAAATTCAGTTCAAAAGAGGAATGAGAAGGAATGAGAAAGAATAAATAAATAATGCAAATAAGATAAATGAAACTGTTTAATTTAATTTTTGTCTGATTTCTCTGTTGCTGGCAGATGAATGATACCAAAATATATATATATATACTTATTTCATGTTGTATATAATATTACTCCATTTCGATTGGATATATGCTCCACATATCCACAGCTGGCAAATGTACTTCACGCAACACCTCATGTATATTTTATCAAGCTGCAGCATGCCCCTTTTACCAGCAAAGAATACCCTCTCTCCACTTCATATTTTCCATCCAGGCGCCGTTCTACAGTCTTAAATCACAGCAGAATCCCACACAATATACGCCGTCGTGCTTTTGAGTGTCAGGACTTACACCTATATGTCCATACGGCCATTGGGAGACCAAACTATCTCCTGGTGCTAAGGCACAACAATGTGGTTGGCACGTTGCATGGTGGCTTCCCCCACCCCAGCATGGCCGCGTTTCAGGAGGGCGGGGCCTGTGGCTTGGGGGAGGATTAAGCCGCGAACTGGGTCATTTTTAACCATAGTTAGTTAACACACTAACTAACTAGTGAACTAGTTGCCTAGTAATCCATTAGAAGCTTATGAAACTACTCCGGTTATTTTAAAGCACTTTTCAAGCATGTGAGTGGCTGTGGTCATCAAGGTGTATGATGTCACTCTCCTGAAGCTTGTTTTCTATAGCTGTCATATATTGCACAGACTTCCTCATCCCTACCTATAAACGAACATAACAAAGAATCCTTGAGGCCAGGGCTGGGAGCTCGTTGGAGTGGAGGGAAGGACTCTCATGAAATAATCTTTTGTCGCTTTTCGTCTTTCCATATGCGCGGGATGAAACTGGATGAAACTGGATGAAACCGGTGGGGCAATTCATATATAATCCAGGTTGTGGGGGAGAGGGAACAAGCTGATGGCAGAAGTTTCATGTTCAAAAATAGAATGGAGGACCCCCCTTCCCCCCCCCACCCCCCCGGTACCCTATAATACAAGGAGGGGTGGTTATTCTTTGGTTGGAAGATGCAACTTGAAAATTTGAGGTTTCCTCCCCCCCCCCCGGGTGGAAACCTCGGTGGTTTTAAAGGGGAAGGGGGGGGGGGGCCCCCAGG